TACCAGGAGCGCTCTAGTCGCAGAGTCAGAGTGCTCTGCATGCCTTGCCAGTGTGGACGGGTAGTGAGCTAGGGTGCCCGGGGTGCTCTTAAAGCGCTCTAACTTGCAAGTATAGCCATGCCCTGAGTAGGTTTGTGCGATCGCTTACACTGCTCTTTCTGCTAAAAAAGCACAACTGTGCAATAGCACAGATGCAGTCGTGATACAGTGGATGAGAAGCTGGATATGAGGCAACAAGGGCACAGTGTTGACAAGAAGACCAATGGCATTTTGGGATGTATAAGTAGGGGCATTGCCAGCAGATCGAGGGACGTGATCGTTCCCCTCTATTTGACACTGGTGAGGCCTCATCTGGAGTACTATGTCCAGTTTTGGGCCCCACACTACAAGAAGGATGTGGAAAAATTGGAAAGAGTCCAGCGGAGGGCAACAAAAATGTTGAGGGGACTGGAACACATGACTTATGAGGAGAGGCTGAGGGAACTGGGGATGTTTAGTCTACGGAAGAGAAGAATGAGGGGGAATTTGATAGCTGCTTTCAACTACCTGAAAGGGGGTTCCAAAGAGGATGGATCTAGACTGTTCTCAGTGGTAGCAGATGACAGAACGAGGAATAATGGTCTCAAGTTGCAGTGGGGGAGATTTAGGTTGGATATTAGGAAAAACTTTTTCACTAGGAGGGTGGTGAAACACTGGAATGCGTTACCTAGGGAGGTGGTGGAATCTCCTTCCTCAGAAGTTTTTAAGGTCTGGCTTGACAAAGCCCTGGCTGGGATGATTTAATTGGGGATTGGTCCTGCTTTGAGCAGGGGGTTGGACTAGATGACCTCCTGAGGTCCCTTCCAACCCTGATATTCTATGATAACTTTTGCAAGATTCTTCTGATTTTGTAAGTTGTGTTCCCAAACCTCTGAAAAAGAAAAAATGTGGGATTCATTCAACCCCTGTGTAAAAAAAAAAAAAAAACCACCCTGCTGTGTCCAGCTGAATTTCTTCCAGCTCTTCTCTGCAGTTTTCAGTATTTATCTTCTCTTCAGCTATCCTTTTTTCTCTTTATATCTTTTCCCTTCAGTTTAGTTCAGTGGGCCACCCAAAATTCCCATTTCTTCAGCTGGCTTTGTGCAACTGTAGTTGGTTCCAAATTGCTACAGCAGCAAGGCAAGATCATTCTACCTGTAAATTCTGCAGGTTTCTGCAGCTGGGTGGGGAGGGATGAGTAACTTTTGTATCAAGTTAGAAAGTGCACTATGACATCCTTGCTGTCTCCATTCCCTGTCTCTTTGTGTCCTGTTTTTACTCCTCTGAGCCATACTTCTTCTTTGCCTCCCTCTCTTCAACCCCTCTGCCCCTGTAAGCTTGCACCAAAACACACAGGACTTTGTTAGTTTAGGCCCCAGTCCTGGAAAGGTTTATGTGTGTGCTTAACTTACTTCAGTGGAACTACTCGTATGTGAAGTTAAGCATATTTGCAGGATTTGGGCCATAACTTACAATCTAAGAAAAACAACAGCAACATGGAATCGTTATGACATTCAAATAATCACATTAACTTTTACTCTAATACTGTTGTCCATCATCCCCCCCCCTCCTCTTATTGTTGCTATTTCATACTTAGTGTCATCTAAAGAATGGGGCCAAATTCTGCTCTCTATTATTACACTTGTAAGAATTTGGATTGACTTAATGACATCAGTGGAATTGCTTCTGATTTACAACAGTGTATCTGAGAGCAGAATTGGCCATCAGATCATAAACCGTTCAGGTCAGGGGCTGGCTTCTTTCTGACTGAGAAGCACCGTGCACACCTATAGCACTGGAAAAAATTATTACATTTTTATCTAATACGATGCATTATGCCTCCTTTACTATTTGGAAAGTCAAAGTTGGTTAGCACTTTTTGGAAATTAACCTAGCAATTATTTGATCACGCAACTGCATTGTTGTGGCATCCAGATATCAACCTTTTAGAATATGATTGAAATCTAAATTTAAATAAATGTCATTTCCAAAGAATACATTAATTAAATATTAACAATACTCTATTGAACGCTCAGTTAATTATTATAAATTCTGTGAAATCCTACTAAATCTTTTTTAATCCTCTTACATTTTTGGTCTGAAGAAACAATTTGCTCCAAGCTCAACACAGGACATAGCTTTGACACAGAAAGCTGTGGAACTCCATGTAAAAGTTGGATTAGTTGAATTTGTATAAAAGAGCGTTGGCAGTAAAAATGCTTCCATTCCCTATAATTGCAACAGTTGATATGAGTTGCTTACCATGTCTGCTTTTCAGAAAGTTATAATGGCTACTGTTGTGTGAACTAATAGGAGCCTACTGGGGAACTGTCAACTTGAATTATGTTATATTCAAGTTGACAGTTCAACTATTGCAAGTTTAAGTGTTGTATGAAATTATTAGGGATGAAATTTCACAGTAATGTGATTTCAGCTTGAAGGTGTCCCTTTGAATTTAACAGTAGAATCTTTTTCTCTTCTTTCTTGTCCTCCTCCTCTCCAGCTCAGAACTTTTAAAATTATTTTTGGGGAAGGATAAGTGCACAAGCTAGAGAAATGAAATGGGTATTATTTCTGTACTGCTATTCGTGGGGAAGCAGCATTGTCCCAATTTTGTGAGATGCTTCGTGCTCTCAACTCCAGTTTACAAGTGTGATTCTTTGCTATTGTCTGTGGGTGTGCACTTGAAAGTAAGTAAGTAGCTCTTCGCAGTCTGCTTGAGACTTAACTATCTCAAGCAGTTCAGTAACATCTGCAATTTTTGCCACCTCACTGTTTGCCCCTTTTTCCAGATCATGTATGAATATGTTGAATAGGACTGATCCCAGCACAGACCCCTGGGGGACACCACTATTTACCTCTCTCCAGTCTAAAACTGACCATTTATACCTATCCTTTGTTTCCTATCTTTTAACCAGTTACCAGTCCATGAGAGGACCTTCCCTCTTATCCCATGACAGCTTACTTTGCTTATGAGCCTTTGGTGAGGGACCTTGTCAAAGGTTTTCTGAAAATCTAAGTATACTATATCCACTGGATCCCGCTTGTCCACATGCTTGTTGACCCCCTCAAAGAATTCTAGTAGATTGGTGAAACATGATTTCCCTTTACAAAAACCATGTTGACTCTTCCCCAACAAATTATGTTAATCTGTGTGTCTGACAATTTTCTTCTTTACTAATCTATGTATTATTTATACTCATTACTTTTTTGAAACTTCTCAAATCGCAATACTGTAATCTCTGTATGCAATACTGTAATTTGTAGCAGTTTGAATTCTTCTGTTCAGAAAGAATTACAGGTAGACCATTATAATTTGTACTAGTTTTATTTTACAATCATGCACAAAACCTTACATTGGAGAACATTATTAAGGTTAGAAAGTCAAGCACTCTAAAGATAGGAAATGCAAGAAGTAATGTTGCCTGTGCAAACTTAATTTAGCCTGTTTGCACATATGCATTATGATAGTCTTTAATTATGTGATCATAATTTTTGTATAGGACCACTGCATCATAGATGAACGGTTCTCACTTAATGAGTAGCTACTCAATAATTTGTTTTATCCTCATTGTTCAATGTGAGGCCATCCTTATTTACTGCACAGTATTCAAATCCTGCTTTGAAGACAATTATTAATTTCCTCATGGGCTTTTGAATGATTTCTATCACTGAGGGTATCTGAGGGCTTCATACTTAAGGCTAAGATTTTCTCATGGAAGTAATGGAATCTGTAACTTCCAGAGACCTCTGTGACATTTTCCGCTTCATCCCCGGGTTGACAGTGCCTGGTGCAGCTCCCAGCTGCCGCTGGTGGCAGAGGGGACCCTGGAGCCCCAGCAGCTCTGTGTACTGGACCCTCCTCCCTACCCACTTTGTCACAGTTTTTTTTAGTAAAAGTCAGGGACAGGTCAAGGGCTTCTGTGAATTTTTGTTTATTGCCCTCCTTCTATATCCTTTCCCATCCCCACTGGTTCCCAGTCCTCTTGCCCAGACAGTCCCACCACCCAGACTCCTGGACAATCTCATTCTACTTCCCAGCCCATTTTTTCCTGGCTCCCAGTCCCAGTCTCCCCAGCTTGGCTCCTACTTTCCTTGCCCAGCTGGTCTCCATCTCCTCCAACCCAACTCCTAAGCCCAGTTTCCCAATCCCCTCCTGCCAGCCTCCAATCCCAATCTCTCCAAAACCCTTCAAGCTCTTTGTCCAATCTCCAGTTAGACACACCCCAATCTGACTCTTGCATTCAAATCGGACAGCGTATTTCCTCCATGCTACCTGGCTGTTAGCAGAGAGAGTATTTTAGAGTGCAGGAAAGGCAGGGTCCATCATTTAAGTTTTGGGGACCATCCCCCGGGCCGTAGTTAGCACAGGGCTGCAACTGCAGGGATATTCCTACTCCAGCCCCCTGCAGCACTGGACTGCAGCATGTTTATTGTGGACAAAATCTTCAGGGAATTTAGTCCCAAAGTTTGGTAAGTTTCTACTTAGCATGTGTGAATGGCAATTGTTCAAAGTCTTAGAATTTAGCTAATTTGGGCAGATTTTCATGGGGATGGCAAAATGCACATACCAGACACAAAGGTCACCCTGGCTAACTTTCAAGTCCCTGCTCCAAAGCAAGAGGGCGCTGAACTAATCAAAGAAGTTGCATGGGCAAAACTTATTTTTCTTTAACCTCATTCTTTGAAATTGTTCAATTGTTTTGAGAAAATTCAGCCTGAGGCAAGCAATTTTGGAAATTTTCAGCCTGAATGGTTAAAGTTTGTCAAAGTTATAAGCAACTGAAAACAGTGTTTTATAATTGGAAGGGTCATCACCTTTAATTATAGGCAGTACTACCTGCTGATTTCACTATTGTTAATGCAGCATTTTTTAAACTGCGGTTAAGAAATGTAAGGATATTTTATTGCTTCTTGGTTGGTTAAATAAATTAAAGAGCATATGATTGAGATAATTACTCACTTTTTTCTTTTAAATTCAGAGAGTGGAGGGATTTCTTAGCAAAGATATCAGCTATCTGATTTCTAATAAAAAGGAAGCAAAATTTGCTCAAGTTCTTGGACAAATTTCTCCAGTCCCAAGCCCAGGCTCTGCACATACGGGCGGAAATAGTTCACCTCATCCCAGTAGCAGAAGAGATCGACATGATGGAAATTCATTTAAGATGGTGGATACAGTAAGTTTCTTGGGAAAAATTCTGCAAATCAAGTGCATCCAACCCCACCTGCTCAACTGATCGTCCCTTATTTTGTTTTCTAAAGGTTGTGTAAACTGTGGAGCTGAGATTGACTTGGTTCAACATAACAAATGTAGTTTGAATCAGTTTAAAACTAACTCTGATAGTTAAATATGGCTTAACCTGCCTAAGCTAGAGTGTGTTTCCCAAAAATAAAGTTCAAATATTGGCTCTTTCCATACTGAAGCCAACTATGTTTAAACCACATTTTTGAAAACTGTTTCCTAGCATAGGATGGCCAAACTGCTTAAACAGCAATATCATTAACAACTTTGAAACAGTGTAATTTAAAATGGTTCAGAACACAGTGTGATCCCTAATGTAAACAAGGCCTGCAATGGCATTTGCTATTGCCAACATTCTTTAGAAACCTAGGAATTGCAGCTGCATATGTAGAGCCTTTTTAACATCATTCTACAAGATTTTGTGTGATACAGTCAACCCACTTTCACTATCTTATCAACACTAGCAGGCAGAAGATTTGTGTAGCTGTATTGGCATCTAGGAAATAAGCACACAAATCAAATATTTTAAACCTGTTTTCAATGGTCAAATGTTTTTTTGCTATATTTGACTTTAATAGTCCTCATTCCCTTTCCCTGAGCATTGCACTGATTTCCACCAAGTTTGTAACATGGTTAACTGAGCAAGTTTTATGTCCACATATGACACAGTTAGAAACTATGTGGGTATACCATGTCTGATCCCTGTTTAGGAATACGATTATCACCATAGGTGGTGAAAATCAAGTGTTCTGGCTGCTGGCAGCTGTGAAAAATCTGAAAAAGAAATTAGCTTGAACCAATCCTAAAATTCCAGAAAATATCACTGAATTGAAAGAAGTTGACAAAATTTCATTTAAAATTGAACAAAATGTTTTGTGTGGCCCAAAACTAACCATTTTGTTTCTGGGCACATTTTCACATATAAGTAAATAAAATGTAGGTCTAGATTAACAATATGGAGGGGCCCACCTTGCAATGTTTAGTCCAGTGGTTAGTGCACTTATCTGGGATGGGAGAGACTTGGGTTCACTTCCCCACAGGTGAGGTGGAGAAGGGATTTGAACTTGGGTCTGTCATGTTGCGGGAGAGTGCGCTAACCCCTGTGCTATGAGGTAGTCTACAGGGGTTCTTTCTTAGTGTCTCCTGTTGGCATTGTTCCACTTTGTAAAAAATACTTGAATAGTCACAAATAGTTTTCAATCAACCGAAACTGCATTTTTCAACAAATAAACTATTAATCCAGAAAAGTTCACCCTGCACTAGTTAAGATACGTAGGCCAGGGTGCAGTACTTTCTAATATGGTCATTCTCTGTAGAAGGGGACACTTAATCTTGTGTGTGTAATAGGTTACCCAGCATCCCTACCTTCCTAAGTCTCTGTTCATTACTAAGAAATGTGGTCATACAGTAGGGGAGTCGGAGGTCTTGCAGTGGGAGAGGTCAGGGTAGGAGTGGGACTTGACAGCTAAGGAGAATTCTGACATGAAAAGCTCTGGAAAAAAGCAGCAGCAGAGCTGGTCATCCTACAGGTGCCTGGGGGAGCACTTTCTCTCTGGTGTTTAGCTTCTAATAAGTATTTGAAATGCCTTATTCCCATAGCTGAATATCATAATTTCCTTGAATATCTATTCAAGCATATCCCTTATCAGGCAGTTGCACATTGATACGCATTGTGAAACCTGTCTTTTCAGTAAACAATACTGGAAGCTTAGGCAAAGACTATATTGTTAAACTTTGCTGGCTCTAATAGAGGACATGAAAACTGGTAACACCAATTTACCACATTTTTGTGTTTTCCATATTTGTTGATTATTTTCTGTAATTGATAGTCCCAAAATAATCACTGAAAAAAAATCCAGAAATCAAAGACATTTTACAGCCCTAACACTGAGCAACTGTGGCCATGAAAACATTCATAAATTCAGGCTTTTCAAAATCATATTTGACCTCTAGGATGAGGTTAATTCTTTGCTGTGTGTCCCTCCTGCTTGGAGATGACTTAGAATGTTTGGAATCTGATATATATTGGTGTTCATAAAGCGATATAAATCCTTGCCAGCAGAGGGCTAATATGGCACTACCTTCTCTACAGTTTCACGCAGGCTGTTGAGATGGTACTGTGCTAAAATGTTGTTCCTTAGAAACATATTGCTAGTAACTCTCATGGAAGTTGCAAACTATTAACAGTGAGAACACTAAGCTTTTAGCTATATAGATCCCAACAGCACGCTGCAAAAACGGTGCTGATTTTCAGCATCTGATTGATGAATGAAAATTGATAGAAAGTGGTAGTACGTTAAATAATGTAGATTAACACATGGTTATAATATATAGTATTTTGTTGGTTTAATAGAGGTATTTGACACACAACCTTTAACTTCAATTTGTACAAAAAGCTAATTTTTTAACATAAAAAGATAACTCACTTTATGTTTCACTGTCTGAAATGAGCACTAATGTGTTGCATACAATAAGCAAAGTTTCTTTTAATTTAGGTACGTTTGAGTAGAGGAAAATCTTTAGTTGAAAAAGCTATCAAAGAACAGGTAAGCTGAGCAGTCCATAAATTTGGATTTAGTAAAGAATATTACTCTCGCTATTCTGCATAGTAGTGAACATCAGCAGTAGAGTAGTGATCTAAGGGAAAATACACCGATGGGAAGTACAGCCAGATGTGCTGTGCTGTTTCTCACCAGCACACGCTACCTTCAGGACTGGTTGCAAGACTCACCTGTTTTTCCATTTATTTCCTGGAAACTTCGGGAAGAAGAGAAAAGATCTGTTTTTAAAGATTTATGTCTAATAATTGATATTTTATCAAGGTCTATGCATTTCTGGTAGTTAATACACATAGAATTTGAGACGTACATGAAATCAAAATTATATATATATATATGTATGTATGTATGAATAAATTCAGCAGTTGCAGGATTCCCAGCTGATAAATCATATAACAATGTGAGCAACATGGGCTTTCTGGATGGAAAGATCTGTGACATAAAGATTGTGAAGGCAGCTGAGGCAAGTGAAAGTCATCCTTATCTTTTGGCAGGAAGCTGTGTGGGAAAATACCATGTCTTCACCTCAACTTTTCTTATGTCTTGCTTTACATCAAACCTTTAAATGTATTGCTTTTATTAAATATTAATAACACTTTCTGTTTGCAGGAATTAATCCCTTCAGGTACTATACTATCCAATGCCTTGAGTTGGGGAGTAAAAATACTTCATGTTGATGGTAAATATATTTGTTTTATAAACTTTTAGTCAAACTATGTGAAAGTCATTTTAATTAAATCACTGACAAGATTTGTTATTTTTCGAAAGTATTATTAAAAACAACAAATAACTTCAAGCATACAAAAAAGAAGTTTGGCTAAAAATAAATTCTCTCCTTTTTTGAAAGATATTAAAAATTATCTTGAGCAAAAGAAAAAGGAGCTCTGCCTGATCAAGAAAGCAAGCATTTCAGTCAAAGATGTGGTAAGTGAGTCCTTTCTAACTTAATGAAATAATTATTAGCAATGACAAATATTGTAGGCAAGTTAAATAGTTCCTTCCAAGATGCTGGTTGATTTTATTTAAATAAACTCTTAATGGTGAGTTTATGTATTAATTTTCTGATAACTGGTATGTCTTGTGGGCCCTCAGTAATTTTTTAAACCAAATCCATTTAAAAATCAGAAGGGAAATGCTTGCTATATGTTTGACGAGCATCATTTTTTTAAAAAGATAAATTTGTAATATCCTTAATCTCTTTAATGATATCCTTAGTCTCTCTAGTTCACCGCTCTGAAAAAAGCATGTCTAGGAGCCAATAGCAGTAAAGTTTCTGAAAGGGCCATTCCCTCTGCACCAAGCTAGAGTAAACAGGGGGCTGCTTTAACTTACTCTGTTTACTAAGGGCCCCACAAGCCAGACAATTGGGATATTGTCATGCCTTAAGGGTATCCCAACCATAGCCATCTTTTCCCTGCTATGGAGATGTAAGACACTTTACTTTTATGCCACTGAAGGATCCCAGTTGCACTGGTGTGATCTTTCCGGAGCTAGATAAGCAGTGCAGATCAAAGTGACAACACTACATAGAAACATTTGTTCTACGGAGTGTGACTCTTCCCAGCTTGCACAGAAAAAGTCTCCTGGTTCCCAGTCTTCTCACTGGAGTACAGTGTCTTCAGGCTACTCCAAGTATGGTGTAGAGCCAGCATATAACTTTTGATTGGTCCCCCCAGTTCCTGGTTTATGATCTGCCTAACTCTATTCAGGCTACTGTTGTTTGGCTGGTAGCTTTATCTTTTTAATTAAGGCAGCGAATTTTTATGGGTGCCCAGTCCACCTGATCTGTAGTATCATAGAATCATAGAATATAAGGGTTGGAAGGGACCCCAGAAGGTCATCTAGTCCAACCCCCTGCTCGAAGCAGGACCAATTCCCAGTTAAATCATCCCAGCCAGGGCTTTGTCAAGCCTGACCTTAAAAACCTCTAAGGAAGGAGATTCTACCACCTCCCTAGGTAACGCATTCCAGTGTTTCACCACCCTCTTAGTGAAAAAGTTTTTCCTAATATCCAATCTAAACCTCCCCCACTGCAGCTTGAGACCATTACTCCTCGTTCTGTCATCTGATACCATTGAGAACAGTCTAGAGCCATCCTCTTTGGAACCTCCTTTCAGGTAGTTGAAAGCAGCTATCAAATCCCCCCTCATTCTTCTCTTCTGCAGGCTAAACAATCCCAGCTCCCTCAGCCTCTCCTCATAACTCATGTGTTCCAGACCCCTAATCATTTTCGTTGCCCTTCGCTGGACTCTCTCCAATTTATCCACATCCTTCTTGAAGTGTGGGGCCCAAAACTGGACACAGTACTCCAGATGAGGCCTCACCAATGTCGAATAGAGGGGAACGATCACGTCCCTCGATCTGCTCGCTATGCCCCTACTTATACATCCCAAAATGCCATTGGCCTTCTTGGCAACAAGGGCACACTGCTGACTCATATCCAGCTTCTCGTCCACTGTCACCCCTAGGTCCTTTTCCACAGAACTGCTGCCTAGCCATTCGGTCCCTAGTCTGTAGCTGTGCATTGGGTTCTTCCGTCCTAAGTGCAGGACCCTGCACTTATCCTTATTGAACCTCATCAGATTTCTTTTGGCCCAATCCTCCAATTTGTCTAGGTCCTTCTGTATCCTATCCCTCCCCTCCAGCGTATCTACCACTCCTCCCAGTTTAGTATCATCCGCAAATTTGCTGAGAGTGCAATCCACACCATCCTCCAGATCATTTATGAAGATATTGAACAAAACCGGCCCCAGGACCGACCCTTGGGGCACTCCACTTGATACCGGCTGCCAACTAGACATGGAGCCATTGATAACTACCCGTTGAGCCCGACAATCTAGCCAGCTTTCTACCCACCTTGTAGTGCATTCATCCAGCCCATACTTCCTTAACTTGCTGACAAGAATACTGTGGGAGACCGTGTCAAAAGCTTTGCTAAAGTCGTCAAGAAACAATACATCCACTGCTTTCCCTTCATCCACAGAACCAGTAATCTCAGTATGTAAATAGCAGACAATACTGTACATGCTGCCCTGAAATTCAGTACAAATTAACTTTTGGAGCCACTTGGAAGCCTTTGCTGAATCTCATGAGTGTATCAGTTTTCCTTTCCGGGTCTTGTAATGGCCTGATTTCTTTCAGTAATACAAAATGTAGTGCTGAGTCAGTATCTTGCCACATTTCAGGTCGTCTTAAGTAGAGCTACAACTTGAGGAGGTTAAGGTATCTGAGTGTTTGGTTTTTAACCAATAAATGTAAGGACTTAATATTTTGAAATTTGAAAATATTTCCTGTAGTACAGCCTTTGTTTGCTAAAATAACATGGAATAACTGTCACTTTTAATCACGTAAATTAGTAACATTTTTATGCAAAGAGCTATAAATGTTATGAAACCAATAAAGTTGCCTCCTACAATTTTTAACAGCATTTATACCTGTTATCTTCATTTATAATAAAACAGTATTGCAAAAATACCATGAATCAGCCAGTTTTTCATGAGTCTTTACCATGATGGTTCTGAGGAAAAAGACTGAAATTTTATTCATTTGTTAAAAAATTACTCTTGAATTGCAGAATTTTGCAAAGCTGCAATATTTCTTTGAGAAATAGACATGACAGATTTTCAGAATATTCATGTGCCTAATTTGCATTTCAGTTAATCATGATTTCATGCAAAGATGCACACACAGTTTTAGAAATCTTTCACTAAATGAAAAGGAGTACTTGTGGCACCTTAGAGACTAACAAATTTATTTGAGCATAAGCTTTCGTGAGCTAGAGCTCACTTCATCGGATTCACGAGAGCTTATGCTCAAATAAATTTTAGTCTCTAAGGTGCCACAAGTACACCTTTTCTTTTTGCGAATACAGACTAACACGGCTGCTACTCTGAAACCTTTCACTAAATGTTGAGGTTAAATATAAACAATATTCAAACATTTTTTTCTTTTAACTAGGGGAAACGATGTGGTGGTCAGAAATCAAAAAGTAAGTATTTTGACACTTGTTGAGGTTTCTATGTTGTCTTGTTTTCTGAATGCTGAAAAATACATCTTTTGTCTAAGGGAGCATCCTTGGCATATTCTTAATCTAGTTGGCCTGAGAAAAGTGACAAAAATATCTCATGGTAATGATAAGTTAATGGGCAGATATTTTTTTAAAAATCACCTGGATGTCTGTCTATACATGTAGTTTATTGTTATAATAAACAAAGTTTATTGTTGGGTGGGGGAAAAGATTTTGACTTTTTTTTTCTGTTGAGCAGGTCGACTGAAAAATCCATTTGTGAAAGTGGAAGACAGAAGCTGGTAAGTGCTATTTCTGGATGGGAGGGGTTGCTGTTTTACTCTCTAATATGCTCAACAAACTGAATCATTTGAAAACATGTGATAATCTTTCTGGACAACTGATTGGATTACTGCTCCTTGGACTTGCTGACTTCAGATAAGAGGCTGTGGCGGTATAATCAACCTCCAAGAGAACCCAAAGTCTTTAATTGGAAGTGCATGTTTATTCACTGAACTAGTTATAATGCATCACAGGCTGTATCTACACTACAAAATTTGGTCAACATATGTTACATCATCTTACTTCCACCAACTTTTGTATATCGCTCGGGTGTGCATGCCTGGCTGTTTGTGTCAGCACTGCACATCCTCACCACAAGTGGTTGCATCAGTAGTAAATGTGGTTTACCTGGGGCAGGTTATCCCATTGTCCTGCGCCATCATCCAGCTCAATGCCTTGTGGGACATTTTCACTGTTTTGTTGGATACCAGCAATTTGCCCTGGGATTCCTGGGAACTAGGGGTCAGGTTTCCCCAGTGCAACTTTCTCCATCCCCTAATTTTTGCACTGTTTTTAAAATTCCCAAAATCCTGCTTGTCCTTTTCAATCTCTACCATCTCTCTGTTAGAAGCCTGGACTCTGCACAGCTCAGCACAATTTTAATAACCATTGCTAATTAGAGGATCCACAATTCTTTTGTATTTGTGGAACTTCAATGAATATTACTATAACTGGTGGTATTGTGAGGAAGAGGAAATGTTCAAGGATGATGAATGGGTGATGATGGACACAGAATAAAAATGTCAGGTTGTTTCTGGCATTCATGGAGCAACTCCACCTGGTAGATGGTGCTTCTGGGCCTGAGAAACGAGCACTGAGTGGTGGGATCATATCAAAATGCAGATTTGGGATAATGAACAGTAGCTGCAGAACTTTAGAATTCAGTAGGTTGTGTTCATGGATCTGTGTGCTGAGCTTGCCCCAGCCCTCCAGTGCAGAGACACCAGAATGAGAGCTGTATTGACAGTGGAAAAGCAAGTGGCAGTTTCACTTTGAAAGTTTGCACCATCAGATTGCGTTGATCAGTGGCGGGTCAGTGCAGAGTTGGTAAATCCAGTGGGGTCCATTGTCATCCAAGAGTGCAAGGCCAATAAGTGTCTCTCACTGCACAGGATTGGGACTCTTGACAATGTGCAGGAAGTAGTAGCTGGATTTGAAGAAATGGAATTTCTGAACTACGGTGCTTCCATAGATGGGGTGCATATCCCTTTTCTGGCACCACCCTACCTTACCAATGAATACATAAACTAAAAGAGGTACTTTTCCATGATTATGCCAGCCTGGTGGAGTAGATTATCTGGAAACCTTCAATGACATTGGTGTGGGCTGGACAGGAAAAGTATATGGCGCGCATATCTTAACACTACAGGACTTTTCTAAAAGCTGCAACCTGACTGGCACATTCCCACTGGTGATATTGAAATGCCAATAGTGATTTTGGGGGACCCAGCCAATCCCTTGCTCCCTGGCTCATGAAGCTGTACGCTGGCCACCTCAAGAGCACTGAAGAAAGTTTCAACCACCGATTCAGCAAGCGCAGGATGACTTTGAATGTGCTTTTGGTAGTTTAAAAGTTTGCTGGCATAGTTTACTGACTTGAATGGATCTCAGTGAGGCAAAGATTTCTGTTGTTGCTGCATGTTGTATATCACATAATATTGGTGAGACGATTGAGAGAGGCAATTGGCTGGTGGGAGTGGGAGTTGGTGAGATGGACCAGCTGGCTGCTGAATTTGAACAGCTAGACGCAAGTGATGTTAAAACATCTGTGGGGCTATGCTGCTGAGGGGAACCTTAAAAGAATATTTTAAGTCAGCCATAATAGTGTTGTGTGATGCTTTTGTGAGCTACTGCACTTAAATATTGGCTGATTATTGGCTCCTGGTAAATAATTTTGTAATATGGCATTTATGCTTGTTGCAAACTAATAGATATAGTCTTAAGTGTCAAAAAATTAATTTTATTGCAGGCAAATAAACAGGAAACAAAGTTAAAATGCAAATAAACAAGCATTTTAGCTGCATTGTATCAAGGTGATCATCACCTTTGTGTAGCTTGTCCTTGTCTATCCCTCCACCAAGACAAGTCTATGCCACACCATTCTATTTTATTGCGAGCACGTTCTTCCCATTTCTGGCCAAAGAGTTTTTGTCCAGCGCATTTTCGGTCTGCCTAGCGGTTGCTTGTGGTCTCTGGGGATCCAGTCAGTGATGCGAGCTGTCCACCTATTGTCTTTCCTGCAAACTACATGACCCACCCATCTTCACTTTGCATCATACATTGCCTGCACTACATCAGTCACCTCTGTACGCCTTTCTAATCTCCTCATTCGGTATAGGATCACGGAACGATATCTTACACATTCGCCTTTCCATTGCTCTCTGGGTGACAGGGAGCTTTTCTTTCTCCACTTTCATTGTTGACTTGCTTTTTGGTCCGTATATCATTGCTAGCTGAGCAGTGGAGTTAAACAGTTCTTTGCTTTTCTTCATGGGCAATTCATTGTCCATTAGAGACGTCTTTATTTTGTTGAAACTTGCCCACTGTGCCTTTCGTCTCCTACTGCATTCCCCTCCCTGTCTCTGCTCATTTGCTGACCCAGGTAAATATATTTGTCAACCTCCTAAATTTCTTTCCCATTTACAGTGATGATTTCTTCTGCACAATGCTCATTCCGCATTCACTTCATCTTTGACGTGTTCGCTTTCAATCCAATATCATGCAAAAGTGTTTGCAGTTACTGCAATTTGTTCTCCAGTTCTGCTGTGTCCTTTGCCAGTATTACGCAGTCATCAGCAAAGAGAAGATGTGTTAACTGTTCTCCGTCAATTCTGATTCCTTCTTCCCAGTTCAATTTCTTGAACAGCGACTCCAGTACTGCTGCAAACAGCTTTGGTGAGATTGTGTCGCCTTGTCTGACTCCTCTATGTATGGTAATAATGCAGAGTACATTGAATAATGTTATCTCTGTCAAGCAATTGTGATTAATTTCTTCCAGTAGGTCAATGTACCTCGGATCGATTCCAATTTCATTGAGCGCATTGAGTACAGTGTTAATCTCCACCGAGTTGAATGTCTTTTTTGTAGTCGACAAATAAAGTACACAATGGTACTTTGTATTCCTTGCATTTTTTGATAAGCTGCCAAACTGAGCGGATGTGATCAATTGTCGAATACTCTGAGCAGAAACCAGCTTGTTCTCTGCTTTCGTGCATTTCAAGATCCTTCTTAATCCGATTTGAGTATGACGCGGGTGAAGACTTTATACCAGGGGTGGGCAAACTTTTTGGGCCGAGGGCCACATCTGGGGAGGGGGAAATTGTATGCGGGGTTGGGGTGCGGGAGGAGGTGCGGGGTGTGGGAGGGGATGCAGTGTGCAGGAACGGGCTCAGGGCAAGGGATTGGGGCAGAGGAGGGGTGCAGAGTGTATGAGGGGGCTCAGGGCAGGGGTGCAGGAGGTGTGAGGACTGTGGGAGGGAGCTTAGGGCAGGGGGTTGGGGTGTGCGGGGTGCAGGAGGGAGCTCGGGGCAGGGGGTTGGGGTGTGCGGGGTACAGCAGGGGGCTCAGGGCAGGGAGTTGGGGTGCAGGGTGCAGCAGGGGGTTGGGATGCAGGAGGGGTTCGGGCTTCGGCTCGGCACCACTTACCTAAAGCGGCTCCGGGGTGGCAACAGCGCGCACGGGGGCCAGGGCACTGTGGCGCTCCGGGAAGTGGCTGGAACCCCCTCCCTGCGCAGCCCCTGAGTGGGGGGGCACAGGGCTCCGTGTGTTGCCCTTACCACGCCTCCAGGTACCTCCCCCGAAGCTCCCATTGGCCGCGGTTCCCAATGGGAGCTGTGGGGGCCAGTGCCTGGAGGCAAGGGCAACACACAGAGCCCTCTGGCACCCTCTCCCCCTGGGCCGCAGGAACATGGTGCCGGCCTCTTCCCTGATTGGAGCGGGGCCCATGGCGCCATGCAGGGCAGTCCTGCAGGCTGGATCCAAAGCCCTGAGGGGCCGGATCCGGCCCGCAGGCCGTAGTTTGCCCACCCCTGCTTTATACACTGGTGAGAGGAGTATGATTACATGGTAGTTACTCAGTTCTTCTGGATCGCCTTTCTTCATCAATAGTATTGTTTTTGATTTCTTCCATGCATCTGGAACATGCTTACTATTGATGTGGATTGCACCAAAGCTTTGAAGAGAGTATCTTCGCTTTCAGATATTCTGGCCAAATATTGTCCACTCCCGGACTCTTCCCTTTCTTTATGTTACGAACTGCGTGTTCAATTTCTTCCCACCTAGCGTCTGGAACTTCTTCTGTAACCTGCTGCCTTGACGGTGTACGCTGGACGTTGACATGTGAGGAGTAGAGATCATTGTAGAATTTTGTACATATTTCGTTCATCTTGCTCCTTTCCAGTGTCCTTTCACCATTTTCATCTTTCAGCGCTGCCGGAATAATCTGTTTCAGTCTAACATCCCTTTCTACCTTCTTCAGACTCTCGTTCTTTTCGGCTGCCTCTCTCAATTTCTTTTTTCTAAAGTCTTCGTAGTCTTCTTTGATCTTCACATGAATTTCTTTGCACAGTGTTCTGTATTCTTCGTCCATTTTTCCTTCTAATTTCATGCATGCCCTCGCCATCAGATTTACAGTTTCCTCACTGGTCCTTTGCTTGCATCCCAGTGTTTTCAATGCCTTTGCCTTCTTAGCTGCTGAGATTATCTGGAAGATAAACTCTTTGTAGTCCTCATCAGTGTCCTTGTTGACCATATACTCGAGGTCCATTTCACTTACTTCCTGTGCAAATATCTCTTCACTGAAGTGCCATTTTTGCTTCGGTTTCTAGCTTCTCTTGACTCAGTCTTTGTAGGCATTGTCAACGCATAGTTTTGAGCACAACGTATGATGGTCTGAGCCTGTGCAAATGATTCATTCTCCTATTATCACTACATTGTTGAAGATTCTTCTGGTATCCGTCAT